ATGGTTTCTTTCCCATGGAGAATCCACAGCGACATAAATCTGGCTAGCAACATGAAAGACCTTTCATACGCTAAAGTTCATTTATTTCTCACTAAGATGTGGAAAGTAGGGGTTTTTTTTTTTTCAGATTACTTGACTAGATTGTATTCATCTTATTTCAGTTTGCATGGTTCATAACCAATTTTGTTTCAGCTTCCTATCAGCTTTTAAAAAGGTTGCTAAATGTCCAGTGCCAAAAAGCTGCAATCAGATGTCCTGCTGAACTTGAGGTGGGCTAATTGTCTGCAGCTGTCTATTCTATCCTTCTGCTTAGGTCCTACATAAGGTGAAGTTTTAGTTTAAATAGTTCCCTCAAGGTACACTAAGCTGGTGTTGAAGTGCATGGAGACCATTTTTATTTTATCATGCTGGTTCCACGTAAGGACAGTTTCTTCCTGAGTTAATTAGGGTTTCCTGAGGAGATCTTGCAATGCATTTGGGTTAATTCATGTTCTTTTAATACTGACTTAAATTCAAAAGGTATGTGAACTAACTGTGCTCCTGTCTTGAGGTTCTGGAGATGTGCTGGCTCATGCTAGATAGCTTTCTGAAGAAAAAAACATCTGTAATGATCACTTGCCTTTATAAAATTAAGGTGGCTTCTTCCTGCGGGATTTCTTAAAGGTATAATTAATTATATGAAAAGTCAAATATAGTTCTTCCAGTGAATTACAGATTACCCCTTTTCTTAAGTGTTATAATCTATATGTATCCTTTCAGATTTATTTTTGGATACATAAGATTTGGATTACACATTAGTTCTTTAGATACTAAGTAAAACTGAATGTTAAGAATTTGTTTGCTATAGATGTTTGCGGTGTCCCTTATGCTGGTGGGAACGAAACGGTTGAAAGCCTTGTAGATAGATATTCACCATTATTAGAGGCTTGTGGAAAAACTGTGTGGTGAAGCCCATTGTCTTCATAGTTGGAAAGTAATACTGTAGTAGTCTGGGGTAAGAAAGTCTGGGGTTTGGGGGAGACCAGCTGTCATTCAGAGTACCTGCAGCAATCTTTTGATTATATGAGCTCACTGAAAACATTGTGTTGAGCATATTACATTGCCTCCACAAACTTACGGTGCTTGGGGCAAGTGTCTCTGCGGTTAAAATACCTACGTCTTCCTTCAAAAATGCCATAAAGAAAGATCACAGAACCAATTATTGTGGTCCATTCTGTAGAAATAATGACTTCTTTTGAAAATTTCTCAGTGCAAAGCTGGTTTAGTGTAAACTCTGTGGTGAATGAACCGACAGCAGTGTGTCAAAAGTAAACTCCTTGATTTACTTGTCCTCCAACACTTCATAAGAGTATACATCTAGTTCTGCACATATTAACTTTTGCAATTGTTTAGTACAGTATTAGACACCTGTAAACAAACTGGTTTTATTCAGGTGAAATTTTTTAGTGTTGTTTCTTAATCATGTTTCTTGCATGGGTTTCTTAAGAATACTTATGTGTCTAGTTTGTTTTGTTTTTTAATTCTGGCAAATTCTGGTAGTGAAGATTGCTACAGGAAAATGGTTTTAGCTTTGACAGCCATTTCTGCGTTCACGGACTGTTCAGGCAGGTTAGAGTGGGAGAAACTGCTGCATTATCAGTATTATTTGGAGAAAAGGACCCCCAGTAGTGTTACCTACAAGGGGGCAGAAGTGGCTAGGTTGTGTCTGTCCCTGTTTTTCTTACTTCAGGAAAACTAACCTTGGAGGAAGAAAAGTCTTCCATGTTGGTAAGCATCTGCAAAGTAAGCTATCCCATCTATTAACAACATATTGATATGTTCAGAAATGTATTTCAGCTTTCTCTGAAAAGATAACTTTAAATTACCAGCTGAACTGAAGAGTCCTTTACAGTGCTGCGATACAAGATTATATACCTTGCAGAAAGTTTGATTTAATTCTTGTGTGATTCTGCATCTGTCTTGCACAGATAGCCATCATTGAGTCACAACACAGAAGCATGTCCACGTGGTTTTCCCACAGAGTACACAAGTATCATGTCAGTTTGTTGAAATGTAATTACTACCATCTGTCACGCATAAGGATTTTAATATCTGGAAACTTGTTGCAGGTCATCAGCTAGCACCATGAACATATTAAGGGAACGGAGGATCTTACATATGAGGAGAGGCTGAGAAAGCTGGGACTGTTCAGCCTGAAGGGGAGAAGGTTCATGGACAGTCCTACTGATGTTTCTAAATGCTTAATGGGAGGGAAAGAAAAAGAGGAAGCCAGACTTTTCACAGTAGTGCCTGCTGACAGGACAAGAGGCAATGTGCATACATTAAAAACCATGAAATTCTGTTTGAACACAAGAAAAGACTTGTACAACACTGGTCAAACAACTGGCACAGATTTCCCAGAGACGATGTGGAGTCTCCATCTGTGGAGATACTAAAAACCTGCTGGACAACCGGTCCTGCTGCCCTGGGCAGCCTGCTGTAGGTGACCCTATCTGAGCAGGGGTTTTGGATTAGATGATCTTCAGAGGTCCCATCTATCCTCAATTATGTATTCCTATGAATAGTACAAAATTTGCGTGGTGCCATGATTTTCCAACAGGACTCTTTATAGAGTTCAAACTTGGGCCTTAAGTACCTTTGGACTGAAATAGTTCTTGTTGCATTTAAAATTCTTTCATTCCATGGGAACAATCTGATTTTTGCAGTTTCTTCAAACACGTGGCTTTCCCCAAAGGGAGCAAGAATTGCTGTCTCTCACATGCTAGCATAATCAGTATACTGTTTTTCATAACTTTTTTTCTGTATTTAAGACAGGTAGTGCAATCTACTAGTCATGTTCCCTCATACACCCCAGTGTAAAATCTGCCCTTTTGTTGCTTAAAACATTGTGTTCAGTCTGAATGTCTTCATCTTGTGTGTATGTTCTACCCTTATTTTATTCTTTCCCGTCTCCCCTCAATTTTGGTGTAGTGAAAGCTATGATTGGAGCAATTCAGCTCTATCCTTAAACAAGGGGAAAAGAGTAGTTTGCCCTTGTGTTTAGTACTTCAAGCAGATTGTCAGGAAAATTAGCTAAGCTTATATGCACATGTGTTTTCTATAGATTGTGTACTTAGAATTACTTTTCCTATCATTGCACATCTGTTGTGGGCTTTGCTGGATTCAGTGGCCTTATGTGAGTTGCAAAAACCTCTCCTGTTTTGCCAGTTAAGGTTTTGCTGGCCCAAATAGCTGGAGCTGCCAGCCTGAATTAAGGAACAAGTAACAGCTGTGTGAGGGCAGCAGAAATGTAAACTGGGACAAGGATCACTTCAGCTTTAAGTTCTCCTGGCAATGAAATGACAAATGTGAAGGGATTCTTACTGTTAAAGGTGATGAGGAAGAAAAAGACAGTAAGCTGCTGCTCCTTGCTCTTTTATCCTTTATCTTGGTCTGTGAGTGTAGGTTGTAACAACTAATTGCACATGGCTGGAGAAAAGAGCAAAGGGGAATGTCCAAAATCAGAAACTGCAGAGGTCCTTTATTTCTACTCTCCTAGAAGAATGAGGGGGCGCTTGCTTTAAATAGTTTGAGGTATCTGGCTATGACTGCCTGAGAAACGGCACCTTCTTAGGCTTAGGAGTGGGAAAGCAATAGCATGGTGTTCTGCTCCAGTGGGTTTGGATCGTTTTGCTGGTTATCGCTGGAGAAAACTTCATGTTCGGTTCAGTGTAGCCACCATAGCACCAGCTTTTTTGGTGCTAGTGCAAGCAAGCGAGAAACACTTAATCTCCTCCATAGTAGGGCAGAAGCTACAGTGTTTTGGGACTTTGGTTCTGTGCCTCACTAGTGAAGCCTGCCCAAGAGGGTGGCTAATCATCAGACATGTTGTCTATTTTAGACAGGTTTCTGAAGAAAACAAGCTTCAGTGATTGAACTGTGTTGGCTTTTCTGCCCTAGCCTGTTTTCAACCCATCAGACCATTTCAACCAGATCTGGCAGGGAAGTAAGGTCCCTGAAAACATGAAATTCCAATTTTCATGAAAATTGCATGAAAATTGATTTTTCATGAAAATTCATGTCTGTTTTTGGAACGGACTAGCGTTCGGTTGAGGAAAGAGCTTCACTGAGCTCAGTACGCAAGTTTGCAGGCTAGTCTGCGCATGCACAAATGGCTGAGTAGGCTACACCGAGCAGCATTAGCCCCAGCCACTGCTGCTTCCTGCCTAGGTTTTATGTGAGAGAGCTGTGTTTGGGAAGGGGAGGTCACAGGGAAGTAGGACACATTCAAAGAAACAGCCTTTATATTTCTGTTCTTTGAGAAACGTCTTGTGGGAACTGTATTCTCTTTTTCCCAAAAGACATCAGAGGCAGATGGCTAGATGATGTCTAGTTATCAGAACATGAATGTCTTTGCTTCTTCTCTCCCAATAAGGACTCTTCTCACAGCCTTAGCTTGTACTGTGGCTGTAGAAGTTTTATGCTTTGCTTTTCATTTTATTCTTTCCTTTTAGGATGTTGCAGGTTTAGAATGATACTTTGATATGGCATCTCTAAACTGAAGACCTGTATTTTCTTTCCAGAGACAGACTGAAGGGCTGGCCAGAGAAACCTTCTGCTTCCATCAGCGGTCCCAAAATACAGGCGGTAGTGTCCTGACATACTTCAGTTTTCAAGAACTCAGTTCCCCTTGTATAAAGTAGCCATGTACTTTTGCTAACTGTTTGAAAACCTTTTTTTTTTAACTCTTCTAATGTATCATGCAAATCTGTACTTCCAATGCTGATAGGAAAACCGTATAACCTAGTGATTTTATAGCACCTTGCTTCAATAAACAAAACACCTCCAACCCTACAACCCCCCAAACTCGGAAGAACTAATCTGTAGCTATTGTAGAATGTACTACTTGTACCTGCTTAGCATATGTACACGCTTAGCTGTGTGAGCTGGTTACAAGAGTATTAAAGCATGTATTTGTAGTACACATCAGTGGTATACGTTGTGATGTATGTCTCGTGGGGAGGTGTGGAGGGGGAAGTTGAAATGGCTCTTTTGCAGGTGATTAAGCTAAACCAGAGCAACCGCGGATTCCCTGGCCAGCCAGCTTGCTGGGCCAGTTTTTAAATTCTTGTGCTCTGCTGCTGGAGATCTCCAATTAGCCTCAAACTGAAACTCTCAGCTTGTGTGTGAACCAGGCAGCTGCTGGCACGCAATCTTCCCTGAAGTTGTTTCCTTTCCTTTTTCCTGAGATTTAGCGCAGGGGGGGAAGGGGCTGGAGTCACATGGATACAAAGCTTTTGATTAATGTCCAAGTCTGTGCTGCTGCTGCGGAGGCTTTCCAACCTCTCAGCTAACACGGCGAGCTGGGAACCAGTGACCGCTTGTTTCCTCCGGGCTGTGTCCTCTTCCTGACGGGAAAGGAGCACGCACCGGGCTGGCTCCTCGCCTCCGGACCTCGGGCCGCTGCCGGAGCCGGGTGAGAAAGGAGCTGAGACTGCTGCTGCGCAGCTGGGCACCGGCCGGAGCCCGGACCCACTATGTAACTGAGCGGGGTCTTTTGTTGTCCTTGTCCGCAGCGTAGCGCTGGGCGTTGAGGCAGCGCTGCCCGCAGCCGGGAGAGCCGCCGGGCTGTGAGGGAGCTCCGCTCCTCCTCGCTGCACCATGACAGAGGAAAGCAAAGGGGAAGGCAAGGGGGAAAGCGGGAAGGACCTGGAGAAGCAGCTTCGTCTGCGCGTCTGCGTCCTCAACGAGCTGCTCAAGACCGAGCGGGACTACGTGGGCACGCTGGAGTTCCTGGTGTCGGTGAGCGGAAGGGCGCGGTGCGGAGAGGGTTGGGGGAGACGTGGCCTCGCCTCGCCCGCCGGTCCCGCTGCCGCCGCCCGGGGAAGGCGGCGCCCTCGGTGAGGCACGCTGCTGGGACAGCGGGACTCGCACCCGGGAGAGAGTTTTCCGCCCCGAGCTGTGTTTTTGCTTAAAAGGGAGGGAGGAAGAGTAACAACTTCTGAAATGGCCGGGGAGGGTCGTGTGTCCCCCACTCTGCCCTCCACCTCCTCCGAGAGCCTCCACTGGTGATACCACTTTGAAAGGGGTGATCTCGCTTTCTCCGAGCATGGACGCTCAAGGGGGTTAGTGTGTTTGTGTTCAGGTCTGCCTAGGGTGCGGAGGCTTGTGTTCATTACAGTTCCATTACTTGGTATAGTCCCTGAAGGAGAGCGGTGCGGGGGGTAAGGGGAGGGCAGGGGTGTGCTGGTGCGCCGCAGCTGCTCGGCATTAGAGCCACATGCGGCATTCCCCCGTCTGGTGATACGGGGTCAGCTGGGAAAGTAGCACATTCTGGTGCGAGCGCTGTTACAGCAGTTTTAGCTTTTCCACGTCTGATTATCACTAATACCATAATCGGAAAGGCAGGAGTTTTCACTCTCTCAAAAAGCTAAAGTGACAAATTCTCACAGAACAGATGCGGGCAGTGTTCCAGTTGCACATGGTCTCTGTAGCATCTCTTTAGGACCCTGTTGAGATCAGTATCTCCAAATCAGCTGCTTAAGTTTGCAAAAGATTTCACAGTACCCCCCTCATGCTTTTCTCTCCTCCCCTGTCCCATTGGAGAGGGGAAATCCTTCAAACTGCAAACTTCCTGCTTTGCTGCCTTGAGATCCTGAACTTTCTGCTTATTATCATGAAAGAGGAAATTCTCAACTTGGCTGTGACAGGGAGAATAAAAGCACAGACGCTGGAGTGAAATAAGATCTACAGAGTAGTTTATTTTCTCCATATGTTTATCCTCAGCAGAACCATGAAAAATGGTAAATGGTCCAATGTGCTTTCTGTTAAAAAAAACCAACAACAAAAGTTTGAGAAGTGGCTGCGTGATTGTGTTTTCCTTTCTTTCATTTAACAATCAGATTTTAACCTAGTGTAAGAAAATATCTATCCTAAGGGAACGTTCTTCAGTATTTTCTGTGAAGCCATGAATTTGGTGTATGTTGGAGTCTTAGATGATTTAGCAAATTTAAAGAATTTGTAGTATCTTTAATTCTGGACTCTACAGTTTAAGACATAGTGGGTATTGGTGTTCAAGCAGTAAGTATTCAGCTCCTTCTAAAAAGCATACTCCATGTATTCCAAGTTGCACCCAAATATTGACTTCATTAATAAGTATTTTTGCATTTTGGAACAAGATGATCTAAATAAATCATATGGAGAAAGGGAGGAGGGCTGGAGTTTAATACCTGGTTCTATGTCAAGTTTGTCACATTTGTTAATGGTTGTGAACAGGGTTCACGTGACAGTTCAGAGGTGTAAATGCTTCGGAGAGAAATGTCATGTGTATTAATCTGAACCTCAGCCTGAGTTTCAGGAAGCAACTTTTGAGCTTTCCTGTTGCCTACCTACTAGGTCTGCTAGGTGGTGGTGAATTTATGAGGGCCACTGGAGACCACCACATTTATTTTACATAAGCCATCAAAACTGTTTGTTGTGCTTGTTCCTATGTTAGCATCTTGATCTGGAGGTTAGATCCACTCATTTAGGTGTCCTAGGCTTATGGTTCTCTTTATTCTTCTTAAAAACATTGCCAGTTATAGTTCCAGCTCTTCTGAAATACAAACACTACCCCAGATTACCTTTTTCACATCATGAGGTGGTCTTGGGGTACACAGCCTGGGTTCCCTATGGATGGAAGTGAACTGGAAGGTTTTTTGTAGGAGTGCCTCTGGCTGATAATGAGGGTACAGTTCCTGGGACTAGACTAGAGCCAGTCTGAAGTGTGGGGTCCCAGTGCTATTTCTCTGTCCAAACCTTACCATATTTTCCAGGGTGTCTTGTTAAAGTAGAGGCAGCCTGAGAAGTTGAAGTCCCAATAAAAGTTAGGAGTTAGGCTGCCAGGTCACTTCAACACCATCAGTGGAGCTCACCAAGGTAGAAACTACGTTTCTTGTATGATGGAGAAGCTGAAGCCATTTAAAGTCTTCCTAATAGTTTGCATGAAGTACCTGCAGTTTTCACTGTAGTTAGTAGGAACTAAGTATTCAACTGGATAAAAAAAAATCCCTGTGGTTTTGGGGTGAGAGCCAAATTCTTCTGTGGGGTTATAGAATGTAATCTTTTATGATGTGTATGGTTCATCTGGAAAAGTACATTAGCACTTGTGTAGTAGTGGTGGGCAGGAGACCTAACTTCACCCATTTGGAGTGCAGTTTCCAGTTTGTGTATATGCCTTGTTGAGGGGGCAGTTAAGGAACAGGAGAATTTGGTTTTCTTCAGTTTTTAGTAGGAAAGGGACGGTATGTAAGCAGGATTTGTGTGGAAGCATAACATCTTCCTGAGTATTTCATGACATCTTGTGGAGTCAATTGATAACATGCACGACCCCTTAAGCTGAGGCAAAACTATACTGTTGCAATGGGCAGTATGTAATACAGAAGTGGAAGATGAAGAGTAAGCCTGATTTATCCAAGTGGTGAGAGGAGGAGACACCCTCTAGCTGATGCAGTCATGATGGGGAATGGGACTTCACCTGGCACAGCTTGTGGCTGGCTGAAGAATGAAGAGATTTTATGAAGGAAGTGACTTTGCTGGTGTGTGTCAGCATGGGAAATGCTTTGCTGGTTTCCTGGCACAGGAAACATGCTTGTTACATGTTAGACTTACTTAGGTTCTTCAATTTATAATGGAATTAGAGTGTATCATGGAGGATAAATTTCTGACTGATTATTGAAAGTGTTGTTACTCCCCTACTCCTTTGTGATTTTTCGTCCTCCAGTTATCAGTTTAGTGAGAAGCAGCATGGTTTGTGTATTCAGTCAAAAGTCTATAAGACAAAAGTCCATAAAAAGTCTGTAAGTGCAAGGCAGAAGATTTAATTATATTCATTATTTTATTAGGGAGATGTAGTTGGGCAGTTATTCCCATGTGAGTTTGTTCACCTCTTCTTTTTGGCTTTATGCTGTATAAATACAGTGTGTTGTTTTTAATCTGCACTCATCACAAATCAAACCTGAGTGGAAAGGTTTAGTTCTATTAATGTTATACTTTCAGATCTCCTGAATCTTCCAGTAATAAACAGTAGTAACAAAGTATGTTGAAACTTCAGGAATACTAGGCAATAACAGTTTTGGGCCTACTTGAGTGAGGTATGTAAACATATGCAAGGGGGATAAACTGAAGTCCACTGGTAGTTGCCGCAATGTTGGAGGGAGGAGGCATGGACAGAAAATGATGAAGAAAGGCCTACGCTTTTCCTTCAGACATTTCATTGTAACACTTGGAGTGTCATTGCAGTACCAGAGTTTTTGTTCTTCTCATTTAGCATTTCTTAAAAGAAATAGATCAACTGATGGAAGAATTTACCAAACGCACTAAAGTGTCTCTGAAGACTGTGTCTTCACAGTCTTCACACATTTTTTTTATGAGCTACAGGATGAGGTTTCTGTTACAAACTGTTGATACCTTGCTGCCTAAACTAGCATTTGGGATTTTTCTGCTGCTGTGTGATATCTCTGATGATCACATAAAAAATTTCAAGACTTTATCAATATGTCCTTACCTATTTTGTTCCTTACAGCAGATTAACGTGTGTGTATATTTACTGTGCTTTGTGGAAACATAATAAAAATTTCATAGTTTGCTCTAAAAGCACAATTAGCTAAGTAGACGGAAACGACCTAAACTTTTCCAAGACTCTCATTGGCTCACAGTTTTATGCTGGGGAATATAGTTGATGTTTTAATGAATGTTTTATAAAATAAGTTGTTGTTTTTCTGTTGGTTTTTTTTTTCCTAATTCTCGTAATGTTTTTATGTACAGTTTCATTTACTGTGTAAACCAGGGTACTTGCCTGAACTGTAAGTGTAGCAATAATAAAGAGACCAGTAAAGCTGTGAGTAGCAGTTGCTGAGAAATTAAAAAGTATTTAATAATAAAGACTTGCCAAAAAGTGGTCAGCTTAATTTGTCACCTTGTAACTTGGTGTAGGGCTAAGTTTTTATGATAGTGCTTTACAGTGGCTCTTTGCCTAGTAAAGGCAAACCAGGCCATGAAGAACTTTAGTTTTGCAGGTACACTGCAGGGAAGTAGGCTAGGCACAATAGTACATAAATACACATACGTATATGTGTATGTATATGTATAAATATAAATATGTATATATATTTTGGGGAAAGAAATTTTATTTTGGAATAGAAATTGGAGATGTAACAGACCTGCTGCAGTTGGTACTTCAGGGGATATCCGTGAAGTAGAGTTTATTTTTCTATGACAGGGATTGTTTTTCTGGTGCAGTTTCGTGTTTTGACAAATTTGACATTGATGGGAATAGAAGCAGATGTTGGCAGTTGCATAAGCCTTCTAAAACTCCATGGCCTCAGCTGGGGTGAGTAGTTAGATGTTGAAGCAGCTGGGGGAAAAAACCAAAGCTAGTTTATTATGTAGAGTATAATGCAGTTTACAGAGTCTCCTCTGTGAATATATATACATTTCTGCCAGTTAACTCTCAAATCTCAGTTTAATTCCATTAGATACTATGGTACTATCTTTCCCCTTATCTTATGCTTGCATTAAGGTGAAAAAAGGGTTTGTTTGCTTTAAATGTGAGGGAAGCCAGATCCTTGCTTTTTAACAGGCATAAAGATTTTGTTTGTAAGGTTTATTGCCCAGCCTTCTCAGTGGCTGTGTGACTCCCAAGGATCTGTATTTCCCTGCCATGTGGAGCCTTGCCTTTCTCTTGGCTCAATAGGAATTTCTCTGATTGTTGAACAGACTAATTAGCTGGACAAATGATTAATAGTAATTGAGATTCAAGGTAA